TCCCATTGTCCGGAAAAGCGTGGCTGGCGAAGCAATGCCACCGTTCCAATTAATGGCGTCATGTATTTATCCGAGTTTAATCAAGCGTGACCGTATTTTATGTCACAGGTGATATCTCCTGACAAAAATAGTTAGTGATCAGGTAATCTACAGACATCGCGTTTCCACAAGCCCGTCGCTGCAATGCGTAAAAACGCTCGCAAAAAGACCGTATATTGCCGCGCACAGGCACCAACCGTCGTGGCGAAAACACAGCTGCGCTTAGCCTGAAGTTAGACTGACCACATTTATTATGTGGCGAAACGTGTAGTGGTAGGTTCGCCTTTCAGGGTAAGTGTTCATATATGATTCGCCAACCAGGGCCATTTAGCCGTTGGCTCGACGGAGGCTACAGGGCAACCAACAGTCGTGTAGTCGCATGGTATGGTATAGGTCCTTTCGTGCCATTTGGATAAGGGACCGAGGCAAAAATGGATGTGTTGAGGATGTGCTACCATGATGGGATTGTGCGTTTGAGAGTGCCAAAAATTAACTATGCTCGGCACGGGATCAGGTTATAATCTGTCCGGCCACACGGTTGTTTTCTGTATGGGTTCTCATTCTGTCACTGATCTCAACCCGTATTCTGAACTATCGATGCCGCGCCAAAAGAAAAAATCCTGCCTTGTGAGATCTGATAATCAATGATATTGATGTCATGTTAAGTTTTAGGAAAAAATCTGGCTTTACATTTCACAGGCAAAAAATTATGATTATAAAATGGCTTACCCTAGTGTCCAAAGTTGCCCTTCAGTTGAGGATATAATATTGCGGTTGCGACTTCACGGTACCCAGGCGCACCCTCCATGGCGACGCCACTGCAAGGAAGGATCAAATAAGATCGTGTCTGGGTAATGGTTGAATCTTTCCTACACTTCAGCCCAAAACATTGGAGGCGCCCAAACCAGCATCGGGAGGCCAAACCAAAATTGGGCCGGGGGGGGGGCAGGGCCTTCACAAAAGAATGCAAATCGACAGCCGTGCTGCCATAACTGAAGTATGAAAGACACATTCGCGTCCAAAATAGGGGAAAAACGACAGACACCTTGTGTGACGGGTTGAGTCAGACTGAGTGCGACTTGACTAAGACACGCTGCACCACACAAGTACAGACCGGACCACTTGGCGAACTGGATGGGAAATAAAAACAGGCAAGATGGGACAGGGGAGGGATAATAAAGGATCTAGCGAACAAGGCTATATCAGAAACAGTCAGATGAGACGGGCCTTATGGGATCAGACCCGTCAGGTCCATCCTGTTTTGCCTTGATCATTGCACGGCCAGTGGAATTGTGGAAGCTGATTGCCGCGGATTCATTTGACCACTTTTTTGCTGCGGCGGACCGAATCAGATAACATTTATAAATTTAGAAAAAGCGCATTGGTGAGACGTGACCAGACCGGATCCTGAAGATTTAATCTGCGAAGTAATCTGACGGACACTTCTGTTTTCGCTCTCCGATCGCTGATTTATCTTGTTTTTGTTTTGCCACGTGCTCCTTTCGTATTTCTCCATTCTTTAGTGTTTCCATTTCCCGTTCAAAGCAGCTAGATGGGATGTCTCGTTCACTATTTGATGTCTAACGGCCATGCCTGCGTCTGCCATTTTTCGGTTTTCGTGTGGATACGTATAAGATTGCCCGGAGCGCGCCAGGGATTCTGGTGCCAAGCCACTAGCGGTTGTGTTGAGGAGCGTACCATTTTGCGCTGCCGGTACAGCTCAACACCGCTATCACGCCTTTACGTACGTTGGAGTGACCAGCGGAGGGTTAAAGATGTGAAGGTGAAGGCAAGTTAACTAGTTCGCCGAAAACGCTACTGCATCACAGTAGCTGTAGCTGTAGCTCACAGCATACAGTAGCTGAACTCTCGACACTACCGATACCTTTGGTTGATCTCTAGTAACAGCAAGCTCTAAATGTTCCCATGTAAGAACGAACCAGCCCTAGTTCGTGTCAAGTAGAAAGGACAAGTCTCGGGCTTGCGGAAGGACAAGCTTGGCACCAGCCGGTTTGATGGACGGCCAAGTCGCTGTAAATCGGCCTGGTCGTCATTCAGCGTGGTCTTGGGGCCAATTCCATTTCCCATATAAATCTGGCTGAAATTGGGTCGGCACAGCCCCAAAAAGTTCTCATCGCTGCTGCAAAGCCCCGGTCCCCAGCCATAAGCCTTTCATCTAGCCGCTACTGGCCTTGACCGCATTCACTGACCACCGCACGTACCGGCGCGTTCCGTCGTAGACATCTGTGACGAACCTCGTCTGTGGAGGTTTGTTGTAGAGTACGCCGTGACAGGCACAAACGAATGCTAGAAAGCCCCATTTTAGGCAGATCTCTGTGTCTCCCCGGGGCACAGGGGATATTTGCGTCCAGGATGTCATCGCTGACCGCCAGTACGCCGCCCGTCTCCGCACTCTCGCAGGACCTAAAAGCCTGAGGCGCCTGGGCATTACTACAGAGTGCTTGCACAATTGTTCCACTAGACTTAAAAAGAAGCCGTGATTGGAAAACTTCTGGGGTCGGATAACACGGTAGGCAGTGCGTGTGGTGTGAGCTCTGACCCCTCATTCGACTGGGGAATTTCAGTTCAACGGCTTAATTTTTGGCGTAGATTTGGCGCGCCGCAGTGCTTGACATGGTCCATCCCTCCCTCTGACGTCACCGGACCACCAGCGCGGCCGCTGCGAACGACCGAGGGCCATCCCGGCCAGAGGCAAATAGCGAACGTCAAAGCGACTCAGACCCAC